CAGACAGACTTTTTATTATTTTCAAATATTGGTTTGTAGGGATTTGATTGATTGGTTACGGAATTTCATCATGACCTGACGTCGGTTGGAGAACCATTGAGAAACTTGGGAATACTGGACAGCTGTTTTGTCCTGGTGTTTGAGACTCTCCGGCAGTACGCACCCACTGTCAGAGTTCGAACCCAGGACCTTTTGGTTACAAGGCCAGTGAGCTCGTAGAACATTAAGCCACTGAGACCCGATCCAGTGGCCAGTCCATGAATTCCAACTTCTGCCAATAATTCACAGCATAGCGCGAAAGCTAGCCAATGTCTTAGGTAAGTATTTGTCCTTACACCCGACCTGCTGCACCATGCTGGTCACGACGTTCCACAAAAACTCCAGGTAACTACCTACCTGAATAGAACCGGTCGCCAGTGAGCATCTCATAGCTGGTAAATTTAGTCTATAGTGATATGTTTGCTAATCACCGATTCTTCCGAGTATCAGGATTCCAGAAATACCCTGGCAGTTTTTGTGTTTCCTCTCTTTAAAATTTCTACATTATCCTAATCAAATTTGTGTCGGTGATTATCTATATGCATCGATATGAAAAAAAACATATCGTCGCTTATCGCAGCTAATTTCTATTCTTGGATGCGAACTGGAAGGGGACGTTCAATTTGACAGTTCGTGCAATCTATTCTGTAAATGACGTTGATATTATCTTCTTTTTCTGTTGGATCTTTGGTCTGCGAAATACCGAATGAAACAATTGTTCTGGCTTGTTCGTTATATCTGTTTCAAACGGTCTTGGTATTCTGCCTGTTATTCCAGAGATATTCGTTTCTGTTCTTGTAGAGAAGTGATTCATTGGCCTAAGTACTAAACTTGTCAACCAGCTGGGTCCTGGGTTAGAGTCCCACTCTTAGCGCAGGTGAACACCCCGTGTGACGGTATTATATATACCTATTTTTTGTATCTATTTTATATTTTGTAGTTTTTGTCACAGATCGATTTTAACACGATCTGACAGTTAGGTCGTTAAGACACGAAATCAATTACTGGATCAATACTTGTGGCTCTTCTATTCATTATCCCTAGTCTGAGAAGGAAGTTTTTTTCTGAATAGGCCTAATTATCTGTCGACTAGAAACAGAATTCAACAAAAGAAGAAAAAAATTTGATCCCCATCACAATTCAACTAGTCCACATTCTTTGATTACCCAAATCTCAGTCAATCAGTTGGTGATCAGTATCTGTAAGTATTGTAGGCATTTTGCGTCGTCTAAGTGCAAGATACTGTTGCAAGATTGGCAAGAATGTATACCTTCATCCGACCTAGTAGATTCACCGCTTGAAGCAATCAACAATTTCGTGTAGCTAGGTGGTAGTGTGAATGATGGAGGTAGTGTAACGGATGAAGTCTGTAACCATATAGTAAAAGCCAATGCGGCATACACCGGCCTGCATCAACTTTGGAGCTGTCGCCTTGTCATTGTGTGTTCAATTACCTCTACCTCTGTATCATCGCTTGCATCAAGTGACATCCTCTTGCCGGTAATGCTGAGGTCTGATAGTGTATGCTTGGCTACAGCGGAAACCATTTCTCATCAAGTGTCGTCTTCTTTGAACACCGACTTCGGTGGCTTAGACATCTGTGACTCGCATACAGGTCGCTGTTTGCTGGCTATGACACTGGATGGAAGAGGAGAACGGGCGGTCAGTCTATGCCGTGGTGCCGTGGGATGAAGGATCCTTGAGTTAAGTTAGCATCTTTTGATGGATTATGACTACCTGGGCGGTATCCCAGAGATAATTCGAATAAGCGGCTTAAGACGTTAACAGACACGAACAAGGATCGTAACCAATTAACTTCCTGGGATTGTCTCGCTTCTTCCCTTTCTGAAAGTAAAATGAAGTAATAAACCATCTATTGCTCATAATCATATCAAGGTACTCACATGACTTCTAAACTCCATTTATATAGTTCCATTGTTTTTCTCTTGATTTTCACTTGATTTGATTGGCAGTAGTATTTTCCATATTTCGGGTATGAGTGATGAATCATTCCTATTGCATGTGTTTGGTGTAGACTCGATGAACAAGGATTCAGTAATAAACCTCTCTCTTCACCTACCTAGATTACTTTTTAGAATTTTAACCCTCCCCCATCTTATCGTGTGGTTGTGTGTTAATGCATGCATGATAAGATAAGTAATTTAGAAAAAAGCTCAGCAATTGCAATGCATGCATTAACACACAACCACAAAATAGCATGGTGGGAGAGGGTTAAAATTCTAAAAAGTAATCTAGATAGATGGAGAGAGGTTTAATTGGTGGATGTTGACTAACAATAGAATCCAGGATGCGCATTTCGTCCTATTTGGGACTCGTCATCTGGATGTACCTGATTACTGAATCCTTGTTCATCGAGTCTACACCAAACACATGCAATAGGAATGATTCATCACTCATACCCGAAATATGGAAAATACTACTGCCAATCAAATCAAGTGAAAAATAATGGAACTATATAAATGAAGTTTAGAAGTCATGTGAGTACCTTGATATGATTATGAGCAATAAATTGTGCTCGAAACGTCATCAGTAAACATTACTGTATAACACTGTGAGACTTTATCAAAACAAGAATTTACCCTAATGGAATTACACTCTACCACAGTGCACAAGTTTTATTCTTATATCAATAATAAATCATCCTTTGAATGCTTTTGACAAGTATGCCGGCTTTCTGAAAGTTGTCCTTATTTTTGTGTGGCGCACCTCTTTGGGCGCATATTCTATCAAGTTTGTGATGTTGTATGAATGATTCTCCAATAATGTCGAAAAGATTGATAACACTTTGAGGCAATATTATGCTTGAATAAATTAAAATTCTCGAAAGGTATAACATTTTACAAATATCATGAATTCATGTCATTTCCCCGTTAATACGCTTAAAATCTTTCCATTACTACTTGCGACCATAGAAATTTTGAATCCATATCATTTGACACTAGAACTGGAGTCTCTGGATTAATTCTTTGATCAAATTTATCGTTTTTATAAAGCAACCTTTCTATACTGAAAAGTGAAATATGTATGTAATTTCGGGGTAGATTTTGCTAAGAACGGAGATTAATTAGAAAATCATTGAAAACCATGGGGCACAGGACAACTACTTCATCTCAGTATGCGACTCTTTAACAAAACGTACTAATTCTCACATGTCGATCTGTAAGAATTCGATTGATTTCAATTTAGATCACGAACTAAGTTCAGTTAGAGAGTCATTGAAAACTATTGCTGACGAAGACTGCTAAACAAGAACTGATGTCAGCTCATGATGAAATCCTGTAACCAATCAAATCCCTACAAACCAACACTTGAATATCAATGAGATACTCACTAGCGACTTGCCCTATTCAGGTTACCTGGGGTTCTAGTGAGGAGTCGTGACCAATCGGGTGCAGCAGGTCGGGTGTAAGGACAAATACTCGCCGAGGAAATTGGCTAGTGGTCGCGCCATGTCGTGAATTGGCAGAGGTTAGAATTCATGGGCCACTGGGTCAGGTTCCAGTGGCTTAATGGTCTACGAGCTCTCTGGCCTTGTAACCCCAAGGTCCTGAGCTTGAACCCTGGCTGTGGGTGCGTATTGTGGAGGAGTCCCAAGCACTAGGACGAAACAGCTGTCCAGTATTCCCAAGTTTCCCAGTGGTTCCCTAACCGATGTCAGGTCGTGATGAAATTCCGTAACCAATCAATCAAATCCCTACAAACCAACACTTGAAGAACAAAACAGCTGTTCAATGCTCGCTGGGATTCAATAGTTATGTAATAGTGCTAATGATAATAATAATTTGCTTTATGACACAGTGTGGAGTTCTCAGTATTTAGTACAGTATTGCATCTAATTACCCAACAACAACAAAAATCAAGCCGAAAAAATAATATTACTGTGCATAGGTAACCGAAATTGATAATAGCGGCTTTTTGGTATTAACAGAACAGTGACGATAAAGTCAAAAGTGTACAAAAAGTGCAAAATGGTGATAATAATACCGGTAATAACTTAAATTATAGGATAGTAGAAATAGTGTTACTATAAATTACAAATGGCAGAAGATTAAAAAGCCATTTACATAGTAAGTTATAAGTTTCACACTTGACCCTATATCTACATCACATAGAATAGGCTAGCAATGGGTTTTTGTACTTGGTTGTGAGACCATATAATCTTTCATAATAGCTACTAATCCTACTCGATGACATGCAAAGGGAGAGTTGAGAATAGAGAGGATGTTGACAGTCAGATAATACGGACTTACCAAGTGTGGGTTTTCAGGGATTTTATCGCCTACAAGATTGATCAGGAGCTGATATCAGTTAGACAACCATTAGAAAACCTTCAGGGAACACTGAGCAGCTGTTTCGTCCTAGTTTGGGGCTCCTCAGTAGTACGCACCCACTGGGGTTTAGGCCCAGGACCTTCTGGTTACAAAGCGAGCTCACAGACAATTCAGCCAACTGGGATCCAATTCAGCGGCCCAAGATTTCCAACTTCTGCCAGTTTTTGATACATATTTAGCGCAACTGCCAGCCACTGTCACAACCGAGTGACCGTCCTCTTGCCCGACTTGGTGGACCCGGCTGGGTAACTTCCCGTGTATGGTCATTAGCCAGTGAAGCCATTTCTGCCATGAGTTTATGTGTCTGTCAATTACAGTAATAACGAGCTGATTTAGTGGCATACTTCTTGCCCTACTGATAGCCTTTAATTTCTGATGAAACTTAAAATACGTATTAAATCAAAGGGAAATGGCTGTCTGGTACTCTGTTTTCTTCAACGATTCTCTAACTGATGTCAATTCGTGACAAACTCTGCACTGAAACTAATCGGAAAAAACGCTGCACATTCAACAACAAAAATTGGTATAAATGTTAATTCTGCACGGTGAAATAAATATGAACATTTACGAAAAGAAATAAGGATTAGTGAGTTAATCAACTACACTTACCAGTTCCGTGTACTACGACTCCTGTATGATAAACCCCTATACCAAGGGAACTAACATAATAATTTATCCAAAGCTATAATATGATAAGCGAACCACATGAATATGTTCCATTCATTCATTGATTGGTAAACCAAATCATTCATGATTGAAAGAAAAATACAATAACACATGAGATAGTAGGCAAATTAACGAAAGAAAACTATACATAATGAAATCAATAAGCAGTTTAAGGTGGCTATACTGTAAGACTGAAATCACCTACCTAGAACAGAAATTTTCAGTGTGCCAGACTAACGATCACAATTATTGTGTGAAGGCCTGATGTAGATTGAACGAAACTCGAACCAGCAACATATTGGGTGCTAAAACAATGATTCACATCTCCACTACTGTACAATCACTTTGATAAACATGACACCAGTAAGTAGACTATGGCATATCACAAAGTAATTCACCTCAAATGATTGATGCTGTTCGGTGTAATCGAGGGCATCAGTTAGAGAACCATTGGAAAACGATTCTGGCTACCGGGTTCGAAGCCAAGACCTTCTGGTTACAAGCCGAGCTCGTAGACTAATAAGCCACTGAGACCCGACCGGGGGCCAAGAAATCCCTGAAGGTTTTCCAGTGGTTCTCTAACTGATGTCAGCACATGATGAAATCCCTTAACCAATCATAAAAAGTCACTACAAACCAATACTTGGAAATTAATCAATAACAAACAGATACGCTTCATATGTTAGCTCTAATTGTGTATACAAATTTACATGTATCTGTGGTTGCAGCTAAAATGGGGCGGGGGGAGAAAGAAGAGCACACCTTCAATTTCCTAAACATGTACCTAAAAGGCTACGACGTCTCTCTCGATGGAAGAAACAACTTAGGCAGTGCTATTACTAAGCATTTCCTTGATACAGATGACGAGATGGACACTGTGAAATCCTTTAAAATTATCAATAGACAATGTGTAGTTCACTTCCACATAAGTTTGTCAAAGACGCTGCTATCAAACACTTGAAACTCGATTTATGCGTTTAGAAAGAAGCAGTTATCAGTTTTTCCTTTGACTCTGATAACTGCATGCCTTTAGTCTCTCTTCTATTTGATTGCGTAATCTTCGGCTTTAACCTCTTCCCGTATAGATATAATGTTATTCAGGTTGTCTGTTGTTTCAATGATTTGAGTTGAACTCACCTCAATACTACACAACTTATTAGTAGTTACTCACCATCTTATTCATCCATTGTTTTTATTACACAACTCCGTTTCCATTGTATCCAAGGCTTCATTTTTTGTTTTGTCTAAACTTTAACCTTTGTGTGTAGGTTATTATAAATGTAATTTCTAAGCAATGTGCGTTAATTTGACAGTCACCTGTTAACTGATATTATGACATATCTGCAAGTAAGTTATAATCGCTATGCTGTGTTAATTTCTTAGGCTGTAGGGCGGTTGATAAGAAGCCGATGAAATAAACACTGGTACCAATTTATTCTGCCTGTAACAGTAAAGCTGCATTACATTACATGATGGTGATGTTACAGGACCAGACTTCATCGACTCGTAGTTTAAAGATAGGAGTGGCGTAAAGCTGCACTAGCCAACGCCAGTGGGTTGATCGCTGACGAAATCTCAGTACGGATACAAAAGGCTCATTTCGTATATGCCACTTTACGCCATCTATGCTGTAGATTTGATATCCGGCTGGCTATCGACCAAAGGGCTTGTGTACTGCTCAGCAGTTTGCCCTGTTCTCCTTTATGTTTGTGAGACACCACCACTGAAAGTAGGAGAAATGAAAAACCTGGTTGTCTAACTGTCTTTGATCATAGAAACCTGTGTTGTACCTCCCATGTTAGATGGTATAATAAGGTGAGCAATATTAAGGTTAGGCTTAGGTCAAATGCTAGGTGAATAGGGGAAATCAATCGACGAGATTGTGAAGATATACCGATTGAGATGGTTAGGACATGTGTTACGTATGCCTACGCGTCACCTTTCTAAAGGGCCAATGTTAGCTGACATAGGATCAGGCTGGAAAAGAGCCAGGGATGGTCAGACCAAAACATGGCTTCATCAGCCAGTGAAATCCACAACAGCTAGTTAGAGCCATTCATGTAGGGAGGTGTAGACTATCTGGCCGGTTGGGGTCCTCGGTATGGTAAAAACCAATGGCTGGAGCAACTGGTCATATGCCTTAAAATCGCTGTCAGTGGCGCAGATGCAAACACTTTTGTGATTTATCAAATCCAATAAAGTTTTATTTTATTTTGCCTCAAATTTCTGTTTATTATCTCTCCTCTTGGTTTGTGTGTTACATCGAGTGTGGCAACTCGAACTGGTGAACACCTGTACAAAGTTCTACGTTGAAACCAGTCAGTAAGTCCATCACATTACATTCTGCAATTAACACTAATACCCACGTGTATAATGTCTTCTTTATATTGACTTCAATATAATACCGAATTCTATTGCTAAGGGATATTAGAAACAGGTAACAATTACGCACAGTTGTAAGATTCAATAATGCGGGAAAATAAATAAGTCACCATTTATTCTTTTTTGAAATTACAAGATAACAAATTGGAAAACAGAATCTATCAAGAGTGAAAGAGATTGAAATTAAACTGGAAAATGTAAGGAAATGGGCTTTTGCTACTCACAATTGAACACTTACTCATCATTTGCATACAAGTGGACTGAGATATCAATGTAGAAATTTGCATAAAAGTTTAGTAAGTCAAGTAGTTACATTTCATAAAAGCATAGTTAAGGGTAGAGAGACAAAAAAGTGGAAAGGCGAAGAAACTATAATGAGCAAAAATGGGCAAGAGAAAGAGTTCTAACATGGAAAAACATGAGAATTGAATGGATCTGGGAGATTACGAATAGCGAATATATCCACGCCAGTCAGTACGATTTTCAGCCATATCATAAAGAATCGCAAAGCAGTGGTTCTTAGAGTCTAGAGAACGCCAACTTCCAAAGTCCTCATAGATTGGTGCCATTTTTGATTTGGCCGCACTTAAGTCTCTTTCTAATCAATCTTATATCAGCACAGCGAGGAAAGAGATGGATGGACTAGGCACACGTCACATGTACCGCAGGCATTTCAATCTATACAGCTTCACAACCTCATTGGTTGATTCCCCCCCCCCTCCGCGGCTGACTTAACAATCTACACCGAATCCAACTCACCACATTACACCATTAGTCTTAGTTATGTAGGGAGGTGTAGGCTGCTTGGTTAGAGTGTTTGGAATGCTATGAACCAAAGGCTCCAAACTTTTGGTAATATGGTTCAAAACTGTTCTCAGTAGGACTGATGCATCCACTCTTTGTTACCTGCTATATCCATTAAACCATCATGCTTTTCCATGTTACTATTTCCTTCCCCCCCCACGCACACACACACACACATTTCTGCTTATTATAATTCCATTGAACTGAAGTTTCTGTAGCAACTTTGTTTACAGGGTGGGGTTGCTAGCCTCACGCCTGAGAAAGGGATTGTTACATTAAGATATAGTTTAGAGACAAGCGACCTTGTGGGTTGGCCATACTTTGAGGAAACCATCAAGTGAGTGACATCACTAGACAAGCCATTGCTCGAGCGGAACCCAAAAGGTAAGCGACGAGTTGGTCGTCAGTGCAAGGGTGACTTGGAGGAGTTCATGTGAAGAGGAGATGAAAGCATGTGGGCAGACTTGGAACGGGGTAAAAAAAAAGTTGGCAGAAAACCGAACGCAATGGAGACGCGCGACTGAAGCCCTATGTTCCTCTAGGAATTAAAGGATATAATAATAATAATAATATAGTAGTTCCATTGAATTTCTGCTTTCTTTCTTTTCTCTATCCATGCATTCGAAATGGAGTGTAGTAACTTGAACTGCTATGTGGATTGGAGTTCAGTCAGTCCAGTTAAGTTACTTTATACCACTACTTACAACAAGTGGAAAAAACGCAAACACCGATGGTTAAAGATATCTAACGTCTTCAAGTCTTTCACTTTCAAGAGCTGTCTGAAAGCTGTGAAAAAGGACAGAGAGAAGTGCTGCATAGTACACATATTGACTGATCAAGAGTCACAGTCAGACATTACATCTAAGCCAAAGATAATGCAAACTGGTAAATTCTAAAAGAGACCTTTCTATTCAAGTGGAGATTTTATCAGAAATCACTTTAATTAGAGGTGATTTAAATTCTCACATAAGTGATGTCAATGCACTCAATCATTTCACTTCCTATCTTAAAATTAAAAGTTGATTTAAATTAGTCTTGTATGAAGCTACTTTTAAATTTACCGGGAAATTCTAATAGAATCAATTTAAACAAAATTATATATTGAAGACAAGAAAAAGTTACTAACAGATAAGAAAAAGGTGATAACTTTTTTGGAAGAAAAAATGCATCCAGAAATGATTATCTTGATGTCTGAATAAACAAATGAATCATCGTGTAATCCTTATAATAAAAAGTATCAACAAAGCGATTTTCTTATAAAAAGTAAACCTGTGAAGAATCACTGCCAGAGGAACACATATATACACGTGAACACGTTACGCATACACCTCAAACACACATTTATATCCTTGTACCAGTTTTTAGAAAAAAAAGGCAATGTCTTTATTATTTTTTTTTCTAACAATCGATAAATATATGAACTTCACACATACAGCACACACAAAAGTAACCGATAACCTGACAACTTAAGTGCCTAAAGTTATCATCCTATCGCGTGCTACCCCATTACAAGTTTAGTAGTATGTTTCTTTTCAAGAAAAGAAGGACAAATCGATATAATCACTTTAAAAAATGTCATCCAAAACAAGTTATGTTTCTTCTGTGAGAGCTAAAAGGAGATTCTACAATAGAATATGAAAATTTGGCGCTGTACAATTTGCACACATATGATGAGCTCATCTAAGAATGCTTTTGGATATGGAAGCAATGAACCTCTCCAGTGACTTGCTGCAGCACGAAGTTGCCTGGAGTCCCAGTGAGAAGTTGTGACCAGTAGGGTCCATCTGGTCAGCAGTCAAGACAGATACTCGCCGATGACATTGGCTGGTG